CCTCCTTCTCCCCTCTCTCTCCAAGTGAGGTTCTTACCCTCATTACCTCTGCCCGTCCTACCACCTGTCCTCTGGACCCTATCCCTTCAAACCTCCTTCAAACTATCGCTCCTGATATTCTAACGTTTCTCAACCATTTCATCAACAACTTCTGGTCACTTTCCAAACAGTCTCAAGGAGGCAAGAGTAAACCCTCTCCTAAAGAAACCCACTCTCAACCCGTCTGATGTTATAAACTACAGGCCTGTCTCTCTCCTCCCGTTCCTGTCCAAAACACTTGAACGCGCTGTCTTTAAACAACTCTCCTGTTATCTCCATCAGAACAACCTTCTTGTTCCGCACCAGTCTGGTTTCAAGGCAGGTCACTCAACAGAAACTGCTCTCCTTGCTGTCACTGAGGAACTGCACATGGCTAAAGCAGCCTCCCTCTCCTCTGTCATCATCCTTTTGGAACTGTCTGCTGCATTCGACACGGTGAATCATCAGATCCTCCTTCGCACTCTCCAAGAACTTGGAGTTTCAGGCACTGCACTTTCCCTCCTCACCTCATACCTCAAAGACCGCACCTACAGGGTAACTTGGAGAGGGTCAGAGTCCGACCCTTGTCAATTAACTACAGGGGTCCCTCAGGGCTCTGTTCTTGGTCCCCTCCTCTTCTCCTTGTACACAAACTCGCTCGGATCTGTCATTAGCCCGCATGGTTTTTCATACCACTGCTACGCTGACGACACCCAACACATTAGGTGATGGAGGGGCCTAGCCAGTCTCCGGACCTTAATCCCATAGAAAATCTGTGGAGGGAGCTGAAGCTTCCAGATGCCAAGCATCAGCCTTGAAATCTTAAGAATCTGGAGAGGATCTTCAGATAAGAGTGGACCTAAATCCTCCCTGAGATGTGCACAAACCTGGAGACCAACTACAAGAAGCGTCTGACTTCTGTGTGTCCAACAGGGGTTTCTCCACCAAGTAGGCTACTAACACATGATTTGCAAGGGGATCAAATACTTATTTCCCACAGTTAAATGCAAATACATTTTTATCTTTTATATAATATCAATTTCTGGATTTTCTTACTCTCACTGTTTATATAAACCTACCATTAAAATTAAAGACTGTTAATTTATTTGTAAGTGGGCAAACGTACCAAATCTGCAAGGGATCAAATACTTATTTCCTCCACTGTGTATCAATTTTAATTGAAAACATGTTTTTCCATTAAAGACATTGAAGTGTTAAAGCTCTAAAATAAACTCAAGTGTGATTACAAACAATTAAAATTGATACACAGTGGAGGAAATAAGTATTTGATCCCTTGCAGATTTGGTACGTTTGCCCACTTACAAATAAATTAACAGTCTTTAATTTTAANTGTTGTGTTCAGAGGGAACCTGTTTAATTATTTTTGCGGTCTAGAATGTTCTTTCTTCTTTTTTTTGAAAAAAGAATCGGACTGACGGACGGACTCCCACCCCCCCCCCCCTCCCCCCAAAAAAAACGAAAAACTCTCTTCGGTTCTCCACGAATTACACAAGTCACCCAAATCAGCGTTAAAAAAGCGGGAGGCGCCGAAAAATCCCCTATTAATGTATTGATATAGCTCCGGGTCCGTAGGTCTGCGTCTGGGTCCGGATGCGGACCGCGGTCCGCCAGTTGACGACCCCTGCTCTAAAGTATCATCACAATTATCATTTTGTGAGGTTTCTCTCACAGTGTTGATAGAGTTATGCTTTAAGGTTTGTGTTGCAATTTTTCTCCAAACGTCCTGAAAATAGTTTTGTAGGATTTTGGGTGTTCCTGTTTGCTTTTCAGTGATACACTCCAGTGAGGTTGCCATTTACCTTTAGACGTCAGAGCGAGTGGTTCCTATTGATTTCACACATTGTGAAAAGTCACTGATTGCCTTGTGTGTCCCAATAAAAAAAATACATGAAACGAGAATCCCTTTGGGACTTTTAAGGCCACCAGTTGTTTTAAGGAAAAATATGTTGTTACCAACAAAAATAGACTCACAGTTTTATCGGAAATGGATAACCTCAGTATGATATTCTGATGTAGAAAATGCAATTTTAAACAAGGTATCATCAGTAGCCTACAGTATACATCCTTTTACTTTTTAACTATCTTCATTGCCTATTATCTTATAGTCCTATTTCCCTTCTACCTCTTTACATTTGTTATTTCTGCTAGAGTATGTTTTATATTAAAGCTGTATCTATGCTAACCTATTGTTATTTCAACCTGTTTAAGAAACATGCCAAATATAAATCATGTATTTATGGGAATGTGATTGAATTGATTTAGCAAGTATTTGTAAATGCCATCACAACTTCCCAGAAATGTTGTTAAAAGACATTATCGTGCCTTCTCACAGTAGAATTTAATGAGACCTGGATTATGAAGTAGCTGCACTCTGCTTTGGGGCATGAAATATGCTAACTGTTTGTGTGAGGTGTTCTGTTTGATGTACTCTGCCTCTGCTGAATATTCAACACTATCTGATGTTTTTCTTTTTCAAACTAAGTGTAACTGACACACATTCAAACCAACGTGACATCACAATGATATGTTGACTTTCAAATAACCTTAACAACTTAAAGGTACAAAAATAACTATTCTAAACCATCATTGTGATTGTGTTGTAGCAAAGACTTAATTGTCACAGTTTCAAGCCCCAAACAGTTTGTATTGTCAAAGGAGGAACCTTCAACATGCTGCTATCTCCGCATTCAGCTGACTAAAACAGCTCTCAAAAAGAAAATGCAGTTTTTCAGAAAAAAGGCAAACACGCATCAATTTAACAACAATGTTAAATTACAGAAAGGGTAAAAGAGCAGTCAATAACAAATGTGTCACTACCTTACTTTAGAAATGTGTTGATTTAATCTCACAGGATTAGTGAAACACATTGATAGTGTTGTTCTGTGAATAATTTCTGTATTGCTTCAAGCAGAAATCAACCTTTTTATTTTACAAAAAACGAGAAATAACTCAAAGGTTTTATGCATTTTGCACAATGTGGAGGCCGGAATCTATGCAGTGTTTGCTTTTAACTCTCCATAAGTGCAGTGTGGGTCTGTGTAGGTTTTGGATGAGTGGGATTTACAATAATGGACTACTCATGTTGTTTGAATGATTCCAGAAGAATGCAAAAAAAGCCATCACATTTTCACAAACCCGTCAAGATAATATCGTTAAAATTGCTTATTTTGCCCGGAAGTCTTTCCTAAACCCACAGACATTACATTTCCAAAAAACAAAAACTTAAAGGCAGCCAATCCTCACATATGAGATGCTAGGTATTATTTTGATAATTATGTGATTATTCATTTATTTTCATTTTTAAGTTTATTGAGTCACTTTTATATTGTTTCAGCACTAAAATAGCATGAACTCTTAACTTGTCGATGTGAAACACACTAGCTTTGAATCCATTGTAAATATGGATTCTGCATTTAGAAATGCTGTTAAAGTAAATCCTCTGATCTCATCCTTCATTTGCCGTTAAGACTGACCTTTCTTCAGTTGCCTCCAACATTCTTTCTGTAAAGTTTTTCCATCAAAGTTTACTTCCAGAACTACAAAGTGAACCTCTGGATTTCTTACAGCGGTCGTCAGTATTGCAATTTCTTTTTATGCAAAGATTTTTTATTATACTTTATACCTCACTCTCCGTCTCTGGTGACCTCTGACCTTTTTGCTTTGCGGATTCTGTCTCCTCTCTCAGAAGCCGAGCAGTGGCCTGTTCATATCCTTTATTCTCCCCCAGATTACTTTACTTTTCAGGCATTTCCTTTTTGTTCATTTCTTATTTCCTCATGCCTTTGTTGTATGCGCTCCAGTGTGACCCTGTGCAACAGACTCTATTAAAGAAAGGGGGGACGTTGTGTCTGCGTGCGTGCATGTCCTCTAGATCAGTCAAACGTAGAAGCTTTGTATTCTTTCTTCATTTCACTTTGTCTGGACTCTAGCAGGACTGCTGACTCAGCGTGTTGTGTGCATGTGTGTTACTATGATAGGGAGATAAGGGGGTTTCATAAAATAAAGTGAATAGATAATGCTTAAAAAATCATCACAATATCAGGCTCTTAGATTCAAAGAAAGATGTTTTTAATTTGCATTGACATTTGATGCTTCAAAGGCAGAAATACAAGTCTTACTGTAGGAGTCTCTGTTTTTAGTATGGGGAAAAGCTGCAATAATAGACGTGTCCAGGTCATTGACTTGCTAGCTAGCCTCATTTACAGTTGTTTGCCTACTAAATTAAAAAGCAGAACATTGCTATATTTGAAGGACTAAAAACTAACATTTTCTGCCATTTCTATTTTTATGTTGATTGAGTAATAATATAAATAATAATAATAACTAATTCATAGTCATACTGCTGGTGGACACATTTCTAATGTAAGGTAGTGACACATTTGTTATTGACTGCTCTTTTAAAACCTGAAAGTTTCTTGAGTTTTCGTAAAGTAGGCTTAGGCTTCTGTTTCAAGTTGAGAAGGTGGTCATTCATCATTCATGATCAAAAGTTGGACACACAGTTTGAACATTACATTTCGAGATAGTTTGGAAAATGGTGCAAACTCCATCCCTTAGGTTATTCAGTTAGCATGTTTAAGCTTGAGTGTTCAGGTTTCATACAGTATACATGTATATATGCACATTTAATGACAGTGTCGAGGCTCAACTATTATATCTTCGGACTTCATTTATTGTGTTTAACATTATGGTTTCAGGTGCTAATCTGCCGTAACTACATGGGGAACATGGACATGAATGAGATCGACCATTTTATGCCCATCCTGATGAAGAGAGAAGAGGAGGCGGAGATGACACCTATGGTCACCCATGGCTCCTCACACTTCCTGTGGATCAAACACAGCAACCTTTACTGTATCCTTCTGAGTTCATGTCTGCATATAAAATGTAGCAGCGATTAGGGCTGCTCAATTAATCGTATTTTAATCGCAATTACGATTTTGGCTTGCAACGATTACGAAAACAACGTAATCGAAATAAAACGATTATTTTCTTCTTATTATTATTATTATTTATTTTTTTATTGGTTTTTCAGTTGAATTATACTTAAAGTTCAGGTTAATCAACTGTTAAAAACATACTATTTACATTTTTTCAATAAATTGATGTTTTCAAAGTAAATGGATAATTGTTTTTAATAATCGTGATATCAATTATTGACCCAAATAATCGAGATTATGATTTTTGCCATAATCGAGTAGCCCTGGCAGCGATGTAGAGTACAGCCTTTAACACACAGAGCTGAATGGCCTCTACCCTCAGCTGTCTCCAGCTTCACATCTCAGCAGCAGACGGCTTCTCAGCTTCTCTTTCATCCCATCATGTCGCACAGCCAATTATTTTTTTTAACACTGATTCACTGTGATGTGTAATTCACTATATATCCTCTCATAATGCAACATTGGGCAGTCACATTTCCTTACACATTATTAATTCAGCATGATATTGCAGTTGTGAGTAAGTGGTATTCCCAGTGCACTACATTAGACATGTGAGCTGGTTTACCTCCCTGTGGCCATGTTCTCAATTGCTTGCTACTGTGATGCATTCTTTTAGGATTTATTTCATTGCATTCATCTCACAACCACCCTCAGCACATTAATAGAGGTTCCCTGCATGTCTCCGTCTCGACAGTTTCTAGTTTGTACAATTTAGTTTTTCAGCTCAAATACTGTCACTTGTAGATGTATAGTTGTTTCTTAACAGTCTGTCCAGTGGTGGCGATGACGAAGAAGAATGCCAACGCTGCTCTGGTGTACTCTTTTCTTTATAAAATCATCCAGGTGAGTCTGTTTGCATAAGTCCAAGTCTTCTACTTACTACTTGTGCTTAAAGTAGGTATAGTGGAATGAGAATAAGCTCATACAAGTAGAACATTACAGAAAATCTACAAGTTTAAGTCACATTTTTATCAACAAAAAAATATAAGATATGCTGGGACCGTCAATTTTGACCCTATATGGTAACTTCCCTGTCACATTCTTTAATGTTTATTTGTGGCTAGCATGAAAGGTGCTTTTTGTCATTATCCCCTGACAACATGAGGTGCAACTACCCTTTCTATTTCATTGGCTGTTTTCCCATTGACTATACAGTTTATCTTTTCGATGCTGCTACTTTGTATAAAACATCTTATGACAGGTTTTTGCTTCTTGAATAAAGCCAACAGCTTGCATAAATCTACACTTTAACAACCAATAAAAAAGCACGTTAGTACAGCAAAACTACTTGCCTATTTTATAGCTACATGTACAGTCGCTTTGGATAAAAGCATCAGCTAAACATACATAATTGGCTAGAAAATATAACATGCAGTGTATGTCAAACTACGTCTGCCTGTATGTCTTTGTAGGTATTTAAGGAGTACTTTAAGGAGCTTGAGGAAGAGAGTATTCGTGACAACTTTGTGACGGTGTACGAGCTGATGGACGAAGTGATGGACTTTGGTTTCCCTCAGACAACGGACAGCAAGATCCTACAAGAGTAAGGAGATATTACATGACTGAAAACAAAGGGTATCAGTTACTGTACCAATGTTTTTCCTTAACCATGAAAAAGGTCCTAATTATTTACATTCAACTTGACTATCAATTATGTGTTTAGGCTCTCTGTTTGGGCATTTGAAGTGTAACATTAAATCTGCACATGAGGGTGTAAGGTCAAAGTTTAAAACTCTCAAAGGCTCTAATGCACTAAGGCACTCCAGTCTGATTTTAATGTGACCATTAGCTCAAGTGGTACCTGAACCAGCCATCAAGAACAAAACATGAGCATGTTTAAGTAAGATACCAGCTTTGTACTTGATACTGTAAGTGACCAACAGACAGGTAAGTAATAATACATAATGATTATGTTTTGCCATTGGCTTTATTTGTTGTTTCTCATTCTCAAATTAACTAAAACACACAAAAGTTATGTGTTCATAGTGCAGTTTGCACTGTGATGTTTCATTGGAATGCTGAACATTTACTTTACAATACCACAGTATCATTCGTTTTGTGTACACATGATACGCCTTGCTGCTAATCAATGGTTACATTATATTTGAAATCACACAATTTCACTGTACATTATTTTACCCTTCTAATGTCTTAAATGTGATTGGGCTAGTTAGTTTGCTGTTTGTGCTCCAAGGTTAGGCTGAGGTGTGTGTGTGTGTATATGTGTTTAGTGTCTGAATAGGGCTGATAATTACCAGGCTCCTATTGGCACTCAGACACAATGAAACTGTCAGCTGGACACACTCGAGACTCTCAGACAGAAAGGCCCTGCTCTTCTCCAAGGAAACACACAACTGTCATTTCACACACACACACACACACACACACACACACACACACACACACACACACACACACACACACACACACACACACACACACACACACACCCATTCCGTCATTCTCTGTCTATAAGCTATTCCAGTTGTCTGACCCTTTCATGACCCAACCAACAAAAATAATGCTTTTCTTTCCACTTTCATTATAACACTTACTACCTGGTGAAGTATAAATATGTGTGTGTTTGTTTGTGCGTGCTTGCGTGCTTGCTTGTATGTGTGGATGGATGTAAGAGACTGAGTAAGTGAGAGTGCAGGGATGCATGTGTTCATATGTGTGTATGAATCTTCATGCGTGTGTGTGTTTGTTGTGATTCCTATTGTTATGCTAATGTCTCAGTTTGCTGCCAATCTCCGCTTCCAGATTCTTTCATTAGCATTTCGGGGGAGAATCAGGGCAAAACAGAACAAACAGCGAAGCAACAAAAACAACCATAAGTCGACCTCAAACCCACTTGTCAACGCCTTTTATCTCTTGGCTCTTTACTGTGTACTGTACCAAAATGGGTTTGACACCCTGTATGTGAGAGGAACTGGGACAGAAAACTAGGGAGAACATACTGCCTCAATCTGTCAATCAATCTAAAACTTGTTTGTCAAGCACTTTTTGGGTGTTGACATTGGAAACATTAGGAGATGATAACATCAAGTTTCATCTCATTGTTTAACTCTCATAGCATCGTATTAATGAAAACAAGGAATTCTAAAGAATGGCTGTACACTACCTGCTCAGCAACAAGCTAGTGAACAAACTGAAGCATTGCTCAGTTAAAGAGAGATTTTACTTCAGTAGTTGATAGGGACCAAAAATTGAGCTAAAACTGTGTAAATATTGATTTTACATGTATCTTTTCAGCAGAAACACAACCCCAAATGAATGATAATGGATCGTGAGAAACAGTTTAGTTATTTGAGCGAAACAGCAGTTTTTATATTTTGAACAGTTGTACCAAGAACGAGATATATTATACAATTGCAATGTGTGTTACCAGATGCACAGTGCAGTATGGAAAGTAGTCTGCAGCAGGATAAAAACATTGGTTGTTCGGCGTGTTAACTATGTGCAGCCTCTCCTAAATTAGAAACTGCATGGAACACAGATTCCATTCCAGTTGGTCTATTTAAAAAGAAAAGGCCGCATACATACCCATGCACATGAGACATCACATGTGTCATTGGTGACATGAATAACAAGCACAATGTCATTCCAAGATTAGTACCCTGTCTGCTTTAACACTATTTCAGCAAGGGTACCATTTCAAACACCTTGTTGGTGTCAGATGTTTTGGGGGAGAGTGGAATTTCCTTACAGATAGAGCCACACAAAAAAGAAATGTTTAAGTTACGAAAATTGTACAACAGTGTTGCCACCACACTGTAGGTTTCCTAGCTAAGATCATTGGTTTCATATGTAAAGAAAGTTGTACACCATAAATACATGAACCAAATAATCACTTACACTTCAATCAAATGTGTTGGACATTATATTCCAGTGGAAATCGGATGGCATAAATTAGAAGTATGCTGTGCAGTAGGAGTGAACAGTGGCAGGGGGGAAGGTGTTGAATACAGGCCAGATCACATGTTGTTTTTCTAAGCTGCATCCTATTCTCATGACAGTTCATCATGTCTCCCTAGACACAGAACGAAGGTTGTTAAAACAAACTAGCCACCTTGTACATAAAGAGACAGCCTGCTGTACTGTGCAGTGATGAAGGGATGGATGGAATGAAAAACACATAGAAAAAATATTTTCTTGCTGATAACTCTCATATATAATTAGAAGAAACTGATTTATGTTTCTAGAGTTGGGCAAGGGCACTTACAATAATTATTGATTATTATTATTTTAAACTGCATTAATCTCTTTTCTTTGGTCAATATCAATGAATCCAGGTCCAATCTTTGGATCATCAAATCCTATTTAAGTGGTGGTTCTTTTATTTCCTGGTGGTTCAAGACATGAGCAACACATTTTAGTATCCTGTAAAAAATGCATGCAAGTCATATTATCTTTGGCTGCAGTCACAATAGGTTTATGTAAATCTCCCTTTTTCAATTACGCCCATGAATAAACATGAATAACGACCTTCTGTAATTTATTTAGACTAGAATAGCTAATTTATTTTAATCGTGAGGTGTAATTAATACAAAATAGAAAACGAAATTCTGAAGATAGATTGTGTTAATACTATGAAACATTATGCTGTTTATTTTTCTGATTAAGAATCTTATTTTGTTGATAGGATTTATTATATTACTCCTAAGGAGATCAGGAAATCAAATTATTATTAAACGCTGTAGCCGTTTCTTGATATTTTCTTATCTTAAAATGTTGTCTGTGTCTGAGGCATCTTAATGAGGACTTTGCCCTTGTGGGATTTCAGGTGCTTCACACTTAATTACTAAACAGTTTGACAAATGATCATACAGGTCTTTCTGCCCTCCTCTCCTCAAGGTACATCACCCAGCAGGGTCATAAATTGGAGATCGGGGCTCCTCGACCTCCTGCCACCGTCACCAACGCTGTGTCGTGGCGGTCAGAGGGCATCAAGTACAGGAAGAACGAAGTCTTCATGGATGTCATTGAGTCAGTTAATCTACTGGTGAGGACAATTTTTGTTTTCTCAACCACATTTCCTGCATATAATATTAATAATAATACAGTGAATTTATATAGCGCTTTTCTAGATACCCAAAGTCACTTTACAAAACAATAAACAAAACAAACAAAGATGCGATGTAGTGAATAGGAAACATTACAAATAAAAATGGTGAACTGCATCGTGAACTGGCAGAGTAGTGGTGTGGGTGAGGGGGGGGTTTTGAGTGCTTGTTTGAATGATGGTGCAGCGGTTGACTGTCTGATGCGGCTGGGGAGAAGTTCCAGAGGGAGGGTGCAGCAGCAGATAAGACCCTGTCACCCCAGGTCTGGAGCTTAGTCCTGGTGGTCTTAAGGGTGTTTGCATATCTGGACTTTAGGCAACGAGTGGGGATCTGACGGTGGAGGAGGTTTGCATGTGGTGATTATTATGGAGTGATATGGTCTCGGCGGCGGGTGGAGGTGAGCACGCTAGCGGCGGAGTTCTGGACATATTGGAGTTTATTGGTGATTTTGTTGGGTAATCCGTAGAGGATGCTATTGCAGTAGAGGGAGAGGGTCGGAATGTCAAATGGCCACCTGGAGTCAAACAGAACATATTCATATATACTTTTGATGCACTTACTGTATTAACTCCAATGTCAGTTCTATATGCTTTATCCATCATCCTCCCATAATGATGATAAATAAAAAATGATGGGTTATATTTAACAGTTCGGTTTAGAGTTGTGTGCTTCCTTAAGGCAAAGTGTGTCACTGTTGCCATGTTATGAATCCTCCCAACAATTAATAAAATTGACTCATAAGAAGTTGAGTAATTATATTCTTCTAATTATTTATAATTGTTTTATTTATATCTCTCTGACCTTCTACTGCCAGCTATGATTCACACAAAGTAACCACTGATCCGTGATAGAATGTGACGCTATAAGGCAATAAGACTTTAATAAACCTATTGAGAAGAACGGACAAGGGCCCCAGATATCGTGCAGCTAAGAAGTGGAAATGTTTTGTATACATGGACACGCTGCTGTCTTTGAAAACCCACAGGAAGAGAAATGATTTTCCTCTTGAATCTAATGTCCTTGAAGAAACACCTCATGGACCAATTTGCTCATTTTTATGAGTCAAAAGGAAACTGATAAGGCACTTCTACAAATCTGCAGCTGCAGCTTCCTGTTCTGTAACCAGGGACTTTACACAAATGTTTTCAGAGGTTCTTCGTCTTGATGTTTTGCTTACATTTCTCACACTACATACTGAGAGCTCTTCACTCTTGTCCCACAGATTGTGCATGGTAGATCCAGCTTGTTTTTTTATTTCTATCAATTTTGAGCAGTTGTGGTTATTCAGCACTACTGATCTGTTTATCGTTATTTAAATATAGCAACTTAATGTTTTACAGTAAAGCTTGTGTACTTTAAGGTGAGCTCTGCTGAGATTCGACTTAAAAGCTGATATCATAGCCTTAATAAAAGTGATCAGAATGCTATTCTTCAAGAGTGATTCCATACTTTTCTTGTTAAACGAGATTCTTTGCTCCTCTGACTATAGGTGAACGCCAATGGCAATGTGCTGCGGAGTGAAATAGTGGGCACCATCAAGCTCAACGTGGTCCTGTCGGGGATGCCTGAACTCAGACTGGGCCTCAATGACAAAGTGCTGTTTGAAATCACAGGCAGTAAGTAACAGTGACTCATGCTCAGTGTCCAACACATCTGAGTGAAACACTAATGATCGTGTATTAGAGTCACATAAACAGTACATTTCACTTCAATCACATTCAGCACATATAAGAGGAGAATTGGGGAGAATAGTGTGGACAATTTAGAGACATAAAAATATCTTAAATTAAAATACTTTATATTCCATACTGCTTGGGCTATGTGTATTGTGAATCAATAATGCAAATCGCGTGCTTCTGGAAAATGCAATTTTTATAGTTTGAGTGTAGTCTAGTGGTTTGTGTCTACATCACCAAACCGGGGTCTATCTCATTATCCATCTTCCCTTTCAGTTAGACTTCTAGTAAGATTGCACAACACATTATTTCACATACTGACAGTGACATGCGAGAGGAATACTTCAATGTTTCTCTTTCATCTCAAGCTTTTAAGATTTGACATTTTTGATGGAGAACTTGAAGCTATCAGCGGGGAAAGCTGTATTGTAATTTAAATAAAAGAATGTACTCTAAATATACAGTTCCTACTACTAGAATTCTGATAAAAGCCAAAAAGAAATGTAAATGTGCTCCTGGTTGATGGATGAGCACTTGCTTTGAACTCAGCCTCACACTCACACTTTCACCTCCTCACTCTGTCTAAACCCCCTCACTTAAAATCTCACACTCAGCTTAGCTTTCATCTTTCCTCATCTTCCCTCCCCCTCTCCTCCTACTTTCCCAATTTTTTCCAATAACGTCTCCTACTGCAACATCTCCCCTTGTCTGGTCGTGCACTCTCTCCCCCTTCTCCCTCTCATCTCCCTCTTTGCTCCCTCTCTTTTGCCTCCCCCCTACCGCTCCCTACTGAAGAGGAAAGGCTCCATCACTGTCTAGCCTCCTTGCCTCTCAGTTAATCCCCCCCCCCCCCAGGCTACAGCCCTGCAGATGAAAGGCGAGGGTCTTTGGATATCCTGTATATGCAGCACACAATCCCCCCGCTGTGTTTCGGAGTCTGGGAAAAACACATCCTCGGAGTAAAAATTATCACAAATAATGATCAAACAAACACACTTACAGCAACACACACTCCTGCTGAATGTTTATACAGATATTAAAATGGGTTCTGCCCTCTCATCCTCAGCAGTTACACTTTTTTACATATCATTTCGCAGTCATTTGCCTGATCTGCACATTTTATCCCAGCAGGAGGCAGCCAAATCATGAAAGAAACTATAAGTCCTATAACACTGCCCTCTGCTGGCAGAAATCCAGATCTGTCGCTACAAGGAAATAACTGGCATACATTTGTGCATGAAATTACACAGCCCACAAAAAGCCTTCAGTCAGTACAGACAATGTGGCTTTTTATATCAAATATTCGATCATTTGACATACATGAGTTTCCACACCTTCTCACATGTCTCTTAGATCAATTACTTATCAGGGGTGTGTTTGTTTGATATCATAGGAATAAGTGTTTTGTTTTGACGACTATTTGCTTTTTCTTTAAGATAACTGTATGAGCTGAGAATCAGGCTATAACCAATTATTGTCCTTATTTCCCTATTTATCGCCACACCCCTAATATCCTATTTCCTCCACTTTTAAATGCTAAGACGTTTGTGTTATAGTTTCTCTGTATTTTCTTGACGCCTCTAGCAATATCCCAGCACTGTAAGAGGTTTTGGAACAGAAAACATTTTCAAAATGCCATTAAACAGTTCAGTAGAGACAGCAGACAGAAAACAGATTAGATTCCTCCTGTCTGCTGCTGTGTATTAGAAGCACAGAAACAGGGAAGAGCAGCCTTAAAGGTGAACCACAGGGGACACTGCTGCATCTTCAATCCCCACCTGGGATGTACACAAACACACACGCACACACCTGTCTCTTCTTCTGGCCCCTGAGGTCGTCGCAGTGACAGAGTGCACCGTATGACCTTTGTTTCTTGTCTTTTTGATAACTCTGCGTGCAGTCGTGCCTGCGTGTTTCTGTGTTCGTTACTGACATAAAACAAACTGGAATAGAGACAGGGAGAGATACGGATACCGTTCTAAAGGGCTTCTCTGCTTTGCTTGTTCAGGAGTGTTTTGACCTCACCCAGCCGCCTGTCTGACATGAGGAAATGTCACACACTCAAATACGCACACACACACTCGCAAGCTAGCGCGAAATCAATAAAGGATTGTGCAGCTAGCAAACAAACATTCATGCACGACTGCACGTCAACTCTCTCAAGAAAGAAAACAATAAAGAAGGAGATAAAGAAATATACACACACACACACACACACACACACACACACACCGTGTCCCCGACAGTGCTGGCCCAGGGTTGCATTCAGAGCAGGTGTGACTGTTGAATGGGGGATTTGCTTTAAGGCCCAAAGGCCCACAGTTATTACAGCAGTTTTCTCCTACTCAGCACCCTCTATTAACCACAGGGGAGGAGAACAGCAGCTTTCTCCAGTAGAATAAAGATGCCACCATTGAGGAGGTTACGCTCAGAACTGCCTTTTGCCACAGTTTGCACTATTGCTTCACCCTCGAGAAAAATTGTCTAGGAAAGCCTGTTTTTATTTTTACAGTTAAAATGAACCATCCGACACAATGTGCTGATTTGTGTGTATAGTAGGCTCTCTAGTGCTCCTGTGGAGTTTCTAAAGTTGAAGTTGGATCAAGTTTATAGAACTGCTTAATTGGTCACTGACTATGTCACTACCATACTCTTAACTGTGCATTACATGTCACTTGTTAGACGCTTTTATCCAAAGCGACTAACATACTCAATACTGTGGGCAATCCCCATGAGCAATTTGGGGTGAAGTGTCTTGCCCAGGGACACAACGACATGCTGACTGCAGTGGGGTTTGAACCTGTGACCCCCTGATCCCAACACAACCCACTACGCCACACGCCTACCCACTACTGTATTGTAGTGCAGTGTTTAGGGAGATCATGTTCATTGAGCAAACTGATGCCCAGGGACATTTATTACACTCAATGCATAATAAAAAGGATACTAACAAAATGATCAACTGTTCAATTAATCAAAATATGGAATTAACTGCAGAACTTTCTTGTAAAAAAGAATGCATTTTTTACAATTTTCTGTCTCTTTTTTTTATTGTTGCTGTTTGTATCTTTTATTATAATCCAAACTTCGTAACTCCATAATCCAATAATGGATTAATCTGCCGATTTATGTTTTTAATTATTGGGCTCATTGTTTGGTCAATTAAATGTCAGAAACGTTCATCCATTTTTCCATCCAAGTTTCCCAGATCCAAGGTGATAGTGGTTGCATCTCTAAACTATTTATTCTTTATCCAGCAACAAAGTGTTAGGAATTATTGCTTTACACAGTATTTTTTCCTCAATAAACAAAGGACTAATAACTCCCCATGTGGCTGTGTGTTTGTCTGGTTTAAACACCTCAATTGACAAATAGTTTTGTACTTAAAAAGTCAGATTACTAATGATGTAGTGGGGAAAAACAGTCCCATTGGCATAAAGACTTCCCTGTAGGCGTGTTTCCTGAAAGAGACCAACATATAAACCCTGCATTAGTTTAGAAGGCGGAATTATTTCACAAACAGTATATCACTATTTTGACAACAAAGCAAATGTTGTTTTTCCTTGGCAGGGTAATGAAGCAACGCCTCTTAGGGAGATAGATGTGTGTTGCTGTCAGAAGTGTCATTTTCTCGCTGATAGTACAATGTTTATTTACTTTGTTGTGTTTGTGTGGGTGTGTTTGTGAGGCAGAATAGTGTTCGGTGGGGGAAGAAGATGATGGCATGGCAGCAGGTTGGAGGTTGTTTGTGTGTAGCAGCTGACGTGGGGGACAAGAAGAGGGCATACTTGGTGATGTACACCCTGTGAGAGAGAGAAAGACAGTGTGAATGTTTGTCTGTCATCATTTCCCTGACCTTGATTCCCCCTAAGACTGCGTGGAAGGCTCTCAATCTGTTTTGTGTGTGTGTGTGTGTGTGTGTGTGTGTGTGTGTGTGTGTGTGTGTGTGTGTGTGTGTGTGTGTGTGTGTGTGTGTGTGTGTGTGTGTGTGTGTGTGTGTGTGTGTGTGTGTGTGTGTGTGTGTGTGTGTGTGTGGGTGTGTGCGCGTGTGTGTCAGGAGAGAAGAGTAAGGCAGTGGAGCTGGAGGATGTGAAGTTTCATCAGTGTGTCCGTCTGTCACGCTTCGAGAACGACCGCACCATCTCTTTCATCCCCCCCGACGGCGAGAGCGAGCTCATGTCCTACCGCCTTAACACGACGGTGAGTAGGACACACACGCACACATGCACACGCACACGCACACACGCCACACGTGTAATTTGTCTCACAGTAAGGCATGTACACAGACACAAGCTAGAAAGTTTATTATTTTGTAGACTTTTTTTGTCATATTTTCCATCATAATATTTATCACAGATATATAAGTAAACAAACATATAAATATAACTCAATAATTATGTCATTTTTGTTATTGAATGTTACAAATATAGTTGTTGTATTTTTGTTATTTGTTTTGATTTAACTTTCAGCGATGTAAGCTGTAAAACATTTGAAATAGTCTATATGTTACTGTCACTGCTGATATAGTTTGTCGTTATAAATTAATAAATTGTCTTATATATAAAGTTTTATCAAAAGCAAAGCCTACCCTGGATCATATTACTGTGGAGCTTCATGATAGAAAATAAAACCTCAGGGAAGCATGAGAAGCTGTGTCAACAAAATGATGTAACCGAAATGAAGCTAACCAGAGAAATGCATATCTTAAAGATGATGTCCACAAGGTGTCAATACAACATCAGATATACTGTAATTCGTTTCCAAAGAGAATTAGTCCGACAGAGGGGACATTTACAGTGGACATCCAAACTTTTACTCTAATAAAGTAATATCTAAGAAAGAATCTTTGTGGCTGCAACACATTTGAATGCCTAGTAACAATGACAGTTTTTATGTTGCAAGATTCAGTATTTCCACTCCTCCTGACATGGTGTTTAATGAACAGAGGATGTTAAAGGGGCGCTGCCAGCAGTTCTTGTCTCCCTTGTAAAAACACAATCTCTCTCTCTCTCTCTGTTGTCCACTGTGTCACTGGTGATGTGTGTTGTAGTGATGCACTTCAGCTCTGCGCTCTCCCCTTCTGACCCTGTCCACTCTCTCCCTCTGACAGGTGAAGCCTCTCATATGGATTGAGAGTGTGATTGAGAAGTTCTCTCACAGCCGTGTGGAAATCAAGGTGAAGGTAAGGATGAGTGTCACATAAACACACACACAGTGGCGAAAGCTTATCCACTTCACTGCAACTTGATTAGTATTTATGACACTCAAGTGGATTACCTCTGACCATCTGTTTGAGGCATACAGACTCAAAATAACAAGTTTGCATAATCATTTAGGTATTGATCTGAATTTGGACGCCCTTTCTTTATTGTAAAGATCTCAGATGACATTTGAACTCTGTCCTCTGTGTCCTTCCACAGGCTCGAGGTCAGTTCAAGAGCCGCTCCACTGCCAACAATGTGTCCATTATGGTGCCAGTGCCCAGTGATGCTGACTCGCCCAAGTTCAAGACCAGCACAGGCAGCGCCAAGTGGGTGCCCGAGAAGAACGCGGTGCAGTGGAACATCAAGTCCTTCCCTGTTAGTGTGCCAACAACATATCACAACTTACACAAATATAACAAAACTAACTATGTCAAATATCAGATGAAAGTCTGATGAGCCTCAGTTTGATACACATGGGTGGCAAGTAGCTAAGTAAATCTACCGTACAATTTTAAGGTACTTTTACTTTCCAATTTCTGCTGCTTTATTTTTGTACTCCACTCCAATTGAGAAGCAAATATTACTTTCACCCTACATTCAAAATAAGACTTAGTTAAAGCTAACAAACAGCATAAAGGTATTGGCATAAGCTCCAACAGCTGTAACACTTAAGTGATATTCACATTGATTTGTAAATAGTCATTAGGTAAAGTAAAGTCAATTTAGGGACTATTGAAATAGTCCCTAAATTGACCTCTCATAGTCATTATGAGTGCTTTTACTTTTGCTACGTTTGGTTGTAAAATGATTGTAATTTCACTTAACTAAAATACATATCAAGGTATTTCTACATGGTGGTATTGCTACTTTACCTTAATTAATCCATCTTACTACTCCTTCTATGATTGATAGTACTTCATAACTCCTTGTCAGAAAAAACAACTTGTATTTTTAATCTGGCAAGTATTAGACATCTTTCAAATCTTTCAATCAGCCTCCCCATACACAAAACAAATCACACTCATATTTTATCCATTTAATCCTGTAAAAAACGTTTGCTGTTAAAATATAGAGAAAAACAAGTTCACACATCTAAAAAAAAAGAAAAGTGGAACAGCATTAATTCAGTCAAGGTTTCTTTTATCTGGAAAGTTCTGTTATCTCCTCAGTAATTCATTATGTTTTCATCCTGTCAGCTGATGACGTATTGTTTTCCAGCTGGTGTATGACTCTTTTCTGTCTCTATCAACCTTTGGACACTATAAAACTCTATATTCTCTCAGGAAACCATACTTAACTAATGTTTGAAGGAGATTTAAAGAAACAAAGGTGACGCAGTGGCTTGTTGTGATAACAACACACATTCACTTCCTGTGAGAGCACATAGAGCTTTTAGAAATAACTGCAATTGCCTTCAGCTATTTCATAATCATCAATTTCTCATTTTATTATTTATAATATTATGCAAACAATTAATATTTCTCTTATCAGCTGTAGGAAAGAGATAAGGTTTCCACAGCAACCTTATAACGGCAAGTAGAAGAAAAGTTCTCAGCCAGAACACTCGTTTATTTTCAAGAAAGAGTTTCTTTATTTGTTTTCATCTGAGATTTTTATTCTTCGAAGAGGGCAAGACTCGGCTATAAAAAGAGGATGTCCCAAACAACATCAACATTATTATCATGTGAGGGCAACTTGTGGGTTGTTTGTTATTGTTGCCAGGTTACTCTCAATAAAGCTGATAATAAGACAACACCCATACTACATTACCTGATAAAAAAATATTACTTAGATTTAATTGTGACTAAAACTTTTTATTCTTGCATATTTAGTAATAAATCCTTGATTTGAAACCAAATGCCATGCCTTAAAGTCAGTTTGGTGACTGATTTGCAACAAACCAAACCCTTAACTAACAGCGTCAGGGCTTGAATAATATTTGACAATGGCTGGTATAAGGAATGATTAACCTGTTTCTTGTGCTTATTTCCTGGAAAAGTCTGGCATCTATCTTAATTGCCATAAATGGACTACTGATTCACCTTTTCTTGACATGGAAGTTGACTAAGATTGCAATGAATATAACGTGTGTTTTGTTGTAGAAGAGGAAATGACTCCTCAAACAAAACCATTTTATCTGCAGGGCGTATTGAACAGTATCACTCTAATTGTTGTCTGTGTGACCAGATACAGCTTTGTGTTTTTGTTCTCTGTATTTGCACATGTAGGGTGGTAAGGAGTATATGATGCGTGCGCACTTTGGGCTGCCCAGTGTGGACAGTGGTGAGCTGGAGGCAAAGATACCAATCACAGTTAACTTTGAGATTCCTTATTTCACCGTGTCTGGGATTCAGGTGGGTCCCTTTATTAACATCCATTACACAATTATTTCTTTAAAAAAATAACCACATTAGCGTGTAGCTCACTATTTAGTTCTGTAAAATGTGAAATGCATCAATAAATACATTTTCTTTTTTTACTTCACGATGTTTCTTAACCTATTTTAGAAATATTAGTCCTTCATGTTGTCTCTAAGAATAAAATAACCATATTCATAAATAAACTGTTTTTAATGCACATTAATAATTATTATATGCAAGGACAGACTCATTAAAACATACAACACTATGTTGGTGGTTGTTTGTGAATGAATAAGTGAAATAACTATATTTAACCTGTGTGTGTTGCATAGGTGCGTTACCTTAAGATTATAGAGAAGAGCGGTTACCAGGCATTACCATGGGTGCGCTACATCACACAAAGTGGAGGTGAGAACAAACACACTGAAATATTCTCACACTTTCAATAACCACACACATTTAGAGTCTGTATATCTGACTGGTGAGGTTATTATATATCTAAGGTAACACAAAGTCTGGGATTTGGGCGCTGAAAAGTTGTCAGTCCGTGCCTAAATCCTCTGAGAAAATGTATAAAGGGTTTAACACTAAAAAACAACTAATCTCCCTAATCTGAACTGTGTGAGTGTTTTTCGATCAGATAATCAGATAAGAGCGCGTACAAAATCAACAAATATTGACCTACAGTAAGCACTTTCACAGGAAAGAATACCATCACAAACATATAGATAAGATTTATTACACCTAACGTTAATACGGAATTTCCAGTCGCCACACCGTGTACTATTCATGTTCTCCAATTTAGCTGTTTTGCCTTTTTTCATGTTTAAAGCACGATAGTTTCAAACACATTAGCAAATCAGAGGTCACCTGAGGTTAAATAAGACGTCTTCCTTGAAAGAGCAGTGTCAGTCTTTCTGCATTACTATTCAGTGTTTGGCCTAAAAGTGAACCCAGCTGTATAACATCCATCATATCCATTACCTGGCTCTATCACCATGAGCCATGGCCCTGGGGGCTTTGAATGACAGCACACATGATGTTAATGAGAAAAACTTTAAACGCCCGTTAGCTTCTGGTGTAAATGCTTTATTTTTCAGTCGTTTTAATTTGAACAGAGATAGAGAGAAAGTTAGAGAAAAGCAGATTACGTTGCTGCCCTGGGAATGAACCCCTCTGCATCTTTCAAACCCAAGTGCGATAGCAAGAGAGACAAGCGCCAAGAGAGGTGTCTTTAAAGGTCACCTATTATGCAAAATCCACTTTTCATGTCTTTTATACATAAACATGTGTCCCCTCTGTGTAATGAGATTCTGAAAGTTTCAGGAAAAAGATCCACTCACTTTTTGTCCTGATCCATTTATATAAAAACCTGTCTGAAAATGAGCTGATCAGATTTTGGCCACTTTATGATGTCATAACGATTCTTTGGCTTGTGTAACCACTAGCCAATAACCAACCAAGGTAATTTAAATTAAATAACTTGACTCTTATCATAACTATGATTTTTTTAAATTACTAAATAAACTTAGACTGAATATTGAATATGAGTGCGCTCTTCCTGTGTGTGTTTGTGTGAACATGGGTGTGTTTCACAGTAAAACTGGTACGAGTTCAGAAGTTCCTGGTTCAAAACGCCACCACAGACACCGTCCAGGCACGATGGGCATCCGTTAAGGGTGCCACAGGATACCGTCTGACATGGGAATCCCCAGGTACGGTTCCATCTTTACTTAGTAATTATACACAAGGTTTATCAAACAGAAAATAACCGTGGTTTGTGAAACAAAGCCAAAAAGTGTCTCTCTCTCTCTCTGTATCTTTCAGATGGCCACATAGAGAACATAAACCTCGGGGACAACTTTAACTTCTACATGATCCAGGGCCTGCACTCAGCCTCTGAGTACACCATCACCATCAACCCCATATTTGGAGACGTTGAGGGGCCCATCACCAGCACCAAACTCAAGACATGTAACTAGCACTTGTATACATTTTTTTTTAAATACATGTACATGGTTACAGTTTTAAAGACCCATACAAGATTAGATGAAGATGTCCTTCATGTCTTTCTTTGTCTCAGTGGAAAGCAGCACAGTACAAACTTTGAAGGTGTCTGCTGTGAGCACCAGTACTGCTGTCATCTCATGGAACAGTGTCCCAGGGGCCACAGGGTACAGACTGGCCTGGGGACCCACTCCAGGTGAGTCACTTTCTCTCTTTGTCAGCCTTCATGTTTTTGCTTTTGACACCATCAACGTACCCCCTGGTTGTTCTAGTGATACATCAGATTACTCTCGGGCATATAAATGATCTCAATACAAAAACGTATCCAGTTATCGAGAGTACGTGTATGCATGCGTGTCCAGGTTTGATTCTTATACTGATTGGCTGCCTTTCTACCAGCAACAGACTCACTCTATCAATAGCTTTTGAAATGTCCCTCTTTTACACTAGACACATCTGCCACAGGAATGTGACTGGTGGCATTGCGACTAACCCTGATGAAATACAAATGTTAGGGTGACAACAGAGGAGGATGTTTTTTTCCCGAGGCTTTAATGCTGAGCCAGATCTCGTAGGACTGCCTGGACAGCGAGCAATAAATAAAGGCAAGAAGAGTGATGAGAATGTACTGTGATTCAACATATTGTTTCAGAGTTTGTTGGTCGGGATCGTCCCAGGCAGTTGGCTCTGAACGGCAGCACCACAGAGTACCAGATGAGGAATGTAGCCCATGATACTGAGTATGTGCTGTCTCTCTATGTGCTGTTTGGATCTGCGGTGGGGCCTGGTATCAGTGCTACCTTCAGAACCTGTGAGTATTCAATATGTCTACTACCAACCACGAGTACTCCTGACATTTACAATTGGTTTTCTTGACCCTTGTAAAATATACACATTTGTATTGTACACCATAATAATAATAATAATAATAATAATAATAATAATAATAATAATAATAATAATAATAATAATAATAATAATACTTTCTTTTAAGGCATTGTTTTCTTCTCTCCTGTGCCACAAAACTCAAGTAGCATTCTGAAGTCTGTGTATTTTCCCTGCATGGGCATCATTCATGTTAGGATTATTTATTAAAATGCCTGGATGTAAGTTTAAAGTTTTTAAAGAGTAACTTTACACTAGCTGTGGTGTCTCCAGTGCTTTGGAACATCCTGGAGTGCACTTCTGTCACTGCAGCAGATTAGAAAGTTAAACCACTGGAGGTCAGCAAATACAAGATTTTCAGCTACTTAGAGTTCCTTTTAAAGAAGCCCAGTCAAATTGACATAAGAGAAAATGTATTAAAGAGCAATTTAAACTCAGCCATAGCAGAAACATACATAAACGCTAGTGGCTGGTTCTGTTGAGAAACTCTCAGGCCAATATGTGTGGTAAATGATAGGAACTCTTAAAGAGAAAAATTAGTTGTCATCTTTCTGTTGCACATCATCGATGAAAACATATCCTGTATTAAAACCAAACTGATACAGGTTATTCATGTTCCATTTTCCTCAGCTCCATTGGGCTATGTTTCCAACTTCAAGGTGTCTTCCTACACCAGTACCTCCATAGATATGGACTGGAGTCCCATAGTTGGAGCCACTGAATACAAACTCTCTTGGAACACAGGTGATATATTTACCCATCTGTTTGATCTGTATTTAGGTGTTTTCACAAGTCAAACAAACGTTCTCTTTATTTAATTTGTCTAAAAAAGTCAATGTGGAAGTGACAGAAATATCCCACTCAGTAGGTAATATTGTGTATGTCCCCGCATGCTTGCAGGTGATGGCAGCCCTCAGTCACATTACCTGGACCGCACTGTCCTCACCCATCGTATCGAAGAACTAAACCCACAGTCCATCTACACCGTCACGATCTGTGCCGTGTACGGCAACTCAGAGGGACCAGAAATCTCCTTATCTCAGCTCACAGGTACAGGAAGAGATGTCTCACAGTTTATTTTAATTGATCATGATTCATCTTAAGATCTAAATAGCTCTGTGCAGCTTGTTATTAAATGGGAAGGATGGTGAAATTCCGAATCCCGTGTCCGGCCCCTCTTGGTGTCTTTATTTGACTGACAAGTCATATACTTTGCTGTTCCCATTTAACCACAGCTGAAATGTCACTTGCAGTATGTGTCACTGAGTAAAAGGCAGCAGAGCTGCTATCATTTTATCACTGTCACTGTCAAAGCTATTGTGTTACACCCAGGTTCAATTGCTGAGTTTATTACACTGACAAATGATAGGGTGTGTGAATAAAATCGCAGCGGCTCATTCAGCTCAAAGATTGCTGATTACTTTAAATGTGATAATGTTTTTACCTCATGCTTTGGAAATAACAAAGGAGGTAAATGTGATGTTTGTTTTGATTATTTTGAACATGGTTATTGATGTTTTTACTCAGCTGCTGTCTCAGACTCACAGCAAATCCAGGCAGTGAGGGAGGTGAAGGTTGTGGACATTGGAGTCAAGTCCTTTACTCTGTCCTGGAAAAAAAAACAGGGGGCATCTGGGTACAAAATCTCCTGGACCCCCTTCATGGGTAAGAACATAATAGTCAACCATGTGTGCTTACACCCCGATACCCACATACTGTGGGACTTATTGACTTATTTAAGCTGGATTTCCAAAAAAGACATCTCTGACAAATAACAAAATATTACATTTTATTCGCTGGATATATAAAACATTGCTCGAATAATTGCATCCTTTTACAATCAAAACTAATTGTCATTACCATTTTGCATAATTAGTAATTATTGGTAACAGCTTCAATATCCCCATTTGAACTCCTGTGGCTGATTGCAATAGGGTTTTAACTATAATTGAGCACACAACAGTATTGTTTTACACTCTCATTATATCCACATGTTGGCTTTTATTATTTCCTGCTCTAGGGGGTGATGAGAAGTCCCATGTGGTATCTGCTTCTTCCACCACTTTCAACATCGACAATCTCCGGGCGAGCGCAGCTTACAAGATCCAGGTGTCCTCCATGGTGGGCCGCAGGGAGGGCAGCCCAGTCCTGCTCACTGCACGCACCTGTGAGTCCCGTCTACTTAAACCAGTGAGGAACAGAATGACATGTGCTCTCAGTCAGAGATTTCAGGAATTGGTAACAATACCAAACCCAAAATGATAGTATTTATGTGTCAAAAGTATAAACCGCCACAGTTTTCACTCCAACTTTGAAGATTTTTTGAGGGGATAATGGTTGTTGTTTTCAGGGGATATGCTGACAAATTGCTTGCTTGCAAGTGTCATTATGTATTCAAGGGTCAAAAAGACTATGTGTCCACTTACCTGACAACTATCTCTATGAGTTGAAAATAGTTTTTGACTGTCCTGACTTTTGCTGTTATTGATGTTTCATTTGTTTTTCTGTTTCAGTGGATCTTCCAAAAGTGAATGGCTTTGCTGCTCTGAACACTACAGACAGCAGCACTGTACTAAACTGGACACATGTGGCTGAGGTCTCTGGATACCTTCTCTCCTGGAGACACATCTCAGGTCAGACAAAGTTTCCCCCTTAATTTAGCATCAGGGTTAACCAAAACAGGTTTATTCCGTACTGTCTAAATGTTATTGCATTGTGAATTGAGCCCTGTGATAAGCACTGCATTGTTTAATAGTTTGTCAATTCTATCGTATGAATAAATTCCAAGAACTACATCCCTTTTGTGTATAATTATGTGTTTTGAAGGTTGTTTAGGGTTTAAAGTGGAAATTTAGTATGGCACATGTTATTGCAATGTGTATTGAGTCTCCGCATAAGTACTCTTTTGTTAAAAAGGGACATATAAAGAAAAACATTTTCGAAACTAATAGTCCTGCTTTATTATACATGCAGACTTATATAAGCTCAATTTTTTTTTGACATGAGTGGTCTCTTTTCTAAGTTATGTTCCTTTTGACTAAAATACATTTAAATAGGGAGGCAATATTCCTATTCCTGGAAACTAAATGAACAGACTTTTTTTGTCTTCACAGTGTTGGAGACTAAAAGAGAGACCCTGGGCCCTGGTTTCAACTCCTATAAGATCAATGACTTGTTGTATGGAAGAACCTATATTTTTACCATCAGACCTTTGTATGGAGAAGTGGAGGGCCCTATAAGCACTGTGTATCAGAAAATATGTAAGACATCATTTCAATGGTTTGTTAAGCTCTGCATAATCCATAAACCTCTTTCTGTTTGCTACAATACTGTATTGATTCCACAGGATATACTTACACTAAATGTATGTTTATATTTTTTCTCTACTCAGTTAAGTATCAGTTGTTAAAGTTAAATAACACTTTTATGGAACAGAAGATTATGACCACATTTCTAACAATTATTTTGATACATTTTTGTATCAGTGATGTTGTGTCTCTGTTCATCTCAGTGGGAGAGGATCCTCCGGCTGTAATAGTCCAGGCTCTGCCAGCCACAGCCCCCCCCCGCATCACGACTGCCTCCATCAGCGACACTACAGTTGCTCGCACTGCCAGCAGGACCACCCGGCACCCCATCGCTGTACCACCGACTAAACCCATTACCCCCAAGAAACCTGCAGGTCAGCCAAGAGTCACTGAGGCCAAATCAGAAGTCCCCCTCCATCATTTAACCACACTCCATGCAGAGACAACAGGTCCACCAAGACCAAGTATGCTTTGTTCATACATAGATATTGCTTAAGTTGTATATTTGTTAGCAGGAGTACAATTATAAAGTGTGTATACAGTTCAGATCTCATAATTTTGTGTTTTATCAGCCTGTGGTAAAGCCAAAGCAGACATAGTATTCTTGGTGGATGAGTCCTCCAGCATCGGCGCTAACAACTTTATCAAGATGAAAGACTTCATTTTCCGGGTGGCTACATACTTCCCTATCATGGGCCCTCAGGGCACACAGGTTGGTCCCTCAGTAAATACTTCCTTTATTTCACCTTGTTCTGGCTTCACTATGGTATGAATCTTTAACTGTATGTTTTTGAGTGTTGCAGGTTAATTACAGACTGGATTGCCATGATTTTAAATGATAATAGATGATGCAAGTTAGCCATGTGTTATAGTGAGTCTCTGGTGCAAGCTAGCGCCATCAGCAAGACCATCATGTGCAAATGTTTTCATCAAGCGGGTAGAAATACATTTCCGAAATGATCAACAAGGCACAATGCAACATGGCAAGTAAAGAGTAGAAGCCAAGGAATATGTGCCTGCTTCGTAAGCATGCAAATTATGTATTTTCTCAATATGTAAAGCAGTATGTGAGAGGAGTTGTGTTTTTTATTTACTTTACACTTACATCTTGAAGTCAGACCTCATTCAATTCAGATTTTGTTATAATGATTTTATGTTGATGTGTATTTTTCTTCAGATAGCCGTGGTTCATTACAGTGATGAGCCTCGAATAGAATTCCGCCTAAATGACTTCAAAGACAGGAACTCTGTGCTCAGGGCGCTCAGAGGGCTGCGGTATGGAGGGGGCAACACTAAAACAGGTTAGTGACACTCACACAAATGTGCACACTACTTTGCACGCCTGTCATCTCAACGCAGCTTCTTATTCCTAACTCTATTCCTGTCCTGCGCTTGATGTCATGTCACCAGCTGCCATGCTGGTGTGGATGGTCCTGCTTCCATATAGGAGTAGTTATAATGACTGCTGAAGTATGTGTTCCAATTAATATTGCAGAGATGAATGCTGTAGGTATCAGCAATTAAAAGTGAGGACCAATGTTGTGTCAAACTTTTGTAGAGTTGGGAACCCTGAGAGTTCAATTAACTTAAGAATTACAATTTTATAATTGAATAAAAAAATACGTAAATGTAATTACCTTATTAATTAGAATTAGTCATTGCTGTTTATGAAAGCTAACAACCTACCTATTGAGCCTTGCTTTTGATTATTGCAATTTACATAAATAATGGCCCAAATGATTTATTGTATTATAATTATGTTTTTAAATGTTTTTGTTTCTTATCTATTTTTATTTTAATTTTATAGTTTGTACCTTTGGTAGCCATTTTTTCTCAGACAGCTGTAATGTTTTATAAAAGATGCTATAAAAAAACAGTGCTGTTCAGCCAAGTACAACTAATCGACCAGCACTTATCACAGTAAATATTCTTCCAAAAGTTTCCTAATTTGCTCTTAAAACTTGTGTGTACCCTCAGGAAAAGGCATCAGTTACGTCCTTCAGGAACTGTTCCAGGAGTCCTTGGGGATGAGACAGGATGTGGCCCATGTTCTGGTTCTGATTACGGATGGCAGGGCTCAGGATAATGTGGTGCCACCCTCTAGAATTGCACGTGCTCTAGGTCAGTTAACGTGTTGTACATCCTCCATTAATGTGATGCTAATAATTTTTACTGTAGCAAAAAATTGTAAACTAGGTTGAAATCATAGAAAATGTCATGTTCTTACTTTGTGTCTCTCTAGGTGTCAGTGTCCTGGCAGTTGGAGTTTCTAATGCAGACATGGAGGAGCTGAATAAGATCGCAACTCCCACTAGCTACAAAAATATCTTCTACTCACCGACCTTTGACGACTTCCCCTCCATAGAGAGAGAATTCATCAATATGATGTGTAGTGAGGAACTTCTCTCCGAGTTCAAACTGAATGATGAGGCAAGACATGAAAAAACTAAAATATTGCCTTTATCATTATTTCCATTCTTTCATTGTACGCTTAGTTTTATTCATGCGTGCAATGAAGCCAAACTCTACAATTGGCCAAAATGGGTTTAAGGTGATACTCATTTACTAAAGTGGCACATGTAAAATGAATGGAACATGTGTAGGAGAGGTTCTCAACCCCCTCTGGAGTTGGTCATGCATGCATGGTGACAACTTATTACATTAAACCCTTGTAATCAGATTTTTAATTGACTCTCAACAGACTCTGTAGGAACACTTTAATGGTCTTGACTTCATCTTGATGTAAGAGCTTTGGATGATGTTACGCAGCCATCTCTACCAATTCATTCTATATTATGTCAATTTCTTCATTAAATATTTGACCAGTCAGTAATGAATTCCTATTTCCTTGTGTCTGTTTTCAGTCTGCTCAGTTGGACACCCCGACTGAAGACCCAGAGGAGCTGCTTAAGCCACAGGGTCCCTGTTCCTCCCAGTGTATGAAGGTTGGTCCTCACTTTCACAATCAATGTTGTCATCATCATTATCATACTCAATCAAATGTTTGAGAGGGTACAGATAACTACAAGAAAATATAAATACACGTAGATATTGGTATTGCATTTTGTTCAAAAAGATTAAACAGCAGAACAATCTTGATTTTATTTTATTTGCAAACTGGTTTTATATTTACTGATAGGTGCACATTTGATCTGAGCTTCTCTTGTTAACAATGGTTGATAAATTACCTCTTCTCTTCTCATTTATTTAATAACTATTGATCATATCATTTGTTTTTTTATCCAGGGCCAGAAAGGTGAACGGGTGAGTAATGTGTTTACCTTTAAATTGATTTAGAAAGGCCCGCAAAGTAAGTGTTATTTATTTTCCTTCTCTCATTCTTTCAGGGAGATGGTTCTGGTCTCGGAGGTCTGGTATGTATTATCAAGTTTTCTTTTCTACTTTGTGGTATCTGTTAAGTGATAATACTTTGGACATTTTAATTCTCTATCCATTGTACCCTCTAGTCTAGGGTATTGCTTTTTATTTCATCTTTTTTCTTGATTATTAACCTTGAGAATAACTTGTAGTCTTTGTGTTGTTATGTAGAGATTTAGGCAAAGCCCGGGACAGTTTGATCCTTTCACTTCTACCAAAGGAGAGATGGGAGAGAGGGTAAGAATCAACTTAGACACACAAATACACAACAATACACTCTACCATAATTCTCATCATTTATTGTCAAATCCCATCCGCCGTCTTGTTGCTTTATTTATTATACATTTTATTATGTATTAAGCATGAATGTGTGTCAACAATATTAAAATATGGCTTAAATTACTCTTTCATTTTGACTGCATCCTTTCTTATAACCCTGCTATGAAAACTTGAATTTGAAAGGGGCTTTCAGGAACAGATGGTATACCTGGGTTGCCAGGACGACCAGGGAGAACTGGACCACCCGGTTCTGCCGGCCAACGGGTAACCTAATTCAGAAAAATAAAAAAAACTATTTTAAAATCTATTTCATTTATCTCAATGGCAGTCTGAAAATTATATTTTTCTTTTTTTCAGGGAGCTCAAGGGATATCAGGTGATATGGTAAGACCGACAGGAAAAATACATTTATGAGACGAAATGTTATGTCTGCTGGCTAAAAATCTGATCATACAACTTTGATGTCCTGTCTTTGAATGGAGACCTGGAACTTAACTTAAAGGGGACCTATCACGCAAAATGCACTTTTGTACGTATTTTATTCTAAAATGCATGATCTGTTTGGTATTTTGAAAAAAAAATTCACAGACATGTTTTATATAGGTATGGCCCTACAATATATGTTTCAAATATAGCATGATAGGTCCACTTTAATTTAACAGCAGATTTATGAATGTGCTATACAAATTATTTGATTTCTATTAACACGGTGAAAAGGAGGGTGACGTGCACAAGAGAATGTGATTACTTGACATGGTTGGTATCAGAGAATCTCGGAACCACCGGGACACCTCACCCTTAAACATTTCAATGTTCTTCATATCTAAACAAAATAATTAACTGTTCAATATTATTTGTATGAATGTCAAATTATCACTTTCTCGTGTTTCTTTCCATAACAGGGTCTACCTGGAACCACTGGTCCAAAGGGACAGAGAGGAGAGAGAGTAAGTCTAACATGTGCATTTGATTTAGACTGATTGCTTTCTGCTGAGACTTGAGATCATGACACAGTCGTCTGCTGGATGTATAAACTTGTGCAAAATGATTTAGGTGCTTCAACAACAACACAGGATGGAACTGCTTGGTTGCTTATCCCCTTGTTTTGTGTTTCTATTAGGGAGAGCCCGGTTATGTCATCGCAGGCGCAGACTCAAATTACGTTCCTGGAAGGAAAGGAGAGCCAGGATCTTCGGTGAGTGCTCAAAAAACCATGTTTTGGAGCTTTACCACAGTGAAGTTAAGGGGAATTTAAATATTATTCACTGCATGTCGTAGGGTCCCCAGGGGTCTTCTGGTATACCAGGGATCAATGGATCTCCAGGCCGTCCTGGCCAGCCCGGACCAACGGGGTCACCAGGAATATCTGTCAAGGTAATGTGGGTCAGCTTCAAAATTCAAAGTAAAAAGAAAAGCTGCACAATGTGCAAACTGTGAACACTACCACAATATAACCTGCATCTTCATCATGATGATTCCAAAATGTTTTAAGTATCATATTACATCTTGTAATGTCAGACCCACCTACAGTGTTCATTACCTTACATAACATTACATTTAGTTTAGCTGACGCTTTTATCCAAAGTGATTTACAACAACTGCATTCAACCGTGAAAATAACAACTCAATAAAGTTGGAATTCTGCAGGTGCGTTAGCTATCAATACTCAGTATAGTGTCACAAAATGTCTAATCGCAGTTGCTGTCCGCTCTTTGTAGGGAGATTCTGGTGAGCCGGGAGAGAAAGTAAGTATGATGCTGTTATTCATCCCTGTACTATCCTTAAAGGTTGCACTAGAATACTTAAATAACAGCATTCATATCATGAATCATAAACATCACCCACATTTACATATTTACTGCCTCAGAATCAGATGTTACCAGGTAAGAAAAGTTATTTATTTAATTTCCATCTGATAACACTTCCATTATTTTCGAAAGGGTTTACGTGGGAAACAGGGAGTGAAAGGAGACAAAGGAGAGTCAGGAAGAGATGTAAGTGTGTTGTTGATAAAATGATTAGAAGTGGTATAAGACATTGCATATCTACATTTTAAGATCATTCTGAATTGCCTTCTGAAAGTGTTTTCTCTCTCTGTTTCTCGCTCGCCGTCGCTAACACACAAAATCTGATGACACACACACACACACACACACACACACACACACACACACACACACACACACACACACACACACACACACACACACACACACACACACACACACACACACACACACACACACACACACACACACACATTCAAACTACTGTAGGGTATTGCAGGTTTGCCAGGTCCCATTGGCATTGATGGGGTGCCAGGATTGTCAGGTCAGAAAGGGGAGAAGGTAAACGTTTGCTTGATAAAGGAAATGGCAAATTTTCAACCAGTCTACTAAAAAAATATGATAATGCGACTGAGTAACTGGCTTGATAAATATTCATTTTTTTCCAGGGTGTGGAAGGAATTGGCATACAAGGTATTCCGGGTCCTCTGGGAGAGAAGGGAGAGAAGGTAAAGAATATATAATTTGTCTTGGTTCTGAAATTAAAAGGTTTCTGTTCAGTGTCCAAAGCCTCAATATGAAATCCCTATTGTTTTACAGGGAAATATTGGCTTTACTGGACCAGTTGGCCCGAAGGTAACAGACATGAAAGAAAAAATTGAACCCTCAGAATTTCAAATGTTTTAATTAAAATAAAACATTTGTAATTTGTGAATTACTTTAAAGGGTGATCTTGGCGAGCAGGGCATCCAAGGAATCATCGGACCTCGGGTTTGCATTTCATCATTATCTCCTGTTGCATAACATGCATTGAGTTTCTGCATGTTTTACCTTCAAATGCATAGAAATTCAGTCTAATTAGATAAAAAACCTGTTTAATTGAGGGTGATTATTTGAAAGGATCTATGCTGAAAGAATTCAGAGGCAGTTATTTATTTGTACCTACAGGGAAAGAAGGGGTTCAAAGGGGAGCAAGGTGACAAGGTGAGTTCATCCCACACACATGTGCGCTCTTTCTTCATTAAGCTGAAAATAATCACTTTATAATTAACATTCTCAATTTAACTTAGCCAGGACTTTATAATTGTCTAATTAAAATTGACGTCATACCAAAATAATGATGTTTGCACATGAACGTGTGCATGCATGTGCGTGCAGTTTTCAATGTAAAGTACATGTTTTTTGTATCTTTTAGGGAGAACGAGGAGAAATAGGACCAATAGGACCAAAAGGAACCTCAGTAAGTGAAGATTAAATCTTGAAAATACAGAAATATACAAATCTTAGCAAGCTTGAGGTTGCATATTGTACTGATACAGAATATTAAAAATAAATACTTATATATTTAGATACTACCTGCACTGGAACGTCACATCATGAATGATTAGAAATGCCAGCAATACCCTATTTGATACGTTATTTCTCCATACAAAGATTTGGATGATGATATAAATCAACAAATGAGGAAGCAATTTTGTTCTGCATTTTTTAAGATTTGCCCTATCAGAGATGGTTATGATTACATTCGATCATGTGCCAAACGTTCAACCCTCAGTGAGTATCATTATCAAATGGGCCAAATTGTCCTGCACCGTTGGTTTTTAATTTTAGGCAGCGTAGTCCTTTTCGAAGCGACAATCACAAAAACATGACGTCATGAAGTCCATTATCCTATCTTCAGTTAGTATAGTTTGTGGTTTTTTTACACAAAAAGTTTAGCTTTGAAAACAGCAGCTAAGAAAGTGTTTGTTAACAGATGATAGCAGGGAGTGATGGTTAATGTTTAAAGGGTATTTTAGTTTTATCAATGCTAAAAATAATTAGAGAATAACAAATATTTTTATTTATTTGATAATTTTTTCAGGGACTGACAGGGCCTTTGGGGTTAAAAGGAGATGAGGGTCCGAGAGGAGTCCCTGGAGATCCTGCCAAGGGTGTAAGAACAATATCTAACTCATTTAAACTTTAGAAAAAGAAGCATTTAATAATCACACACTTTATTTTGCGAACAGATAATTGGCCCAACTGGAAAAAAGGGTGCCAGGGTAAGTAACCAACTTCATTCATTCAGTAAAATGCTTTACTGTGGCAGCATGCATCGCTTTGTTTCTATATTTGTACACACCTCTATATATTTTCAATTCAATAATAGTTGTGCTGGATGAGCTGTGTATATTTAAATGTTTGCCTCCACCTACTGAGCTTTCGCTCAACCAATACAATTCCACTTGGCTTCATGTAATATTTTTCATAATAAAAGGTTATTATTAAAAGTCTAAGAAAGAGAAGAGTTACTCCCTGGAAAGTTTTTTTTTTTTCAACATACTTAAACTGGCAGCATGATCAAACCTTGGTGAATTTGCCACAGTCATACATGTATGTCAAAACATAGTATTTATAACTGGTTTAAAATAAGTTATTCAGCCAGAGGGAAGTGATTCTCTTAATGTTTTATTCTGTCGGGACATTGTTAATTAATTGGTCGGGGTATCCTTGCACACTCAGACTCAGTCGTCTGGGTCTGCTTATCAAACACAATTAAGATTTTCTCTCATTAGCTTTTGAAGTGGGAATGAACGCTCCACTGAATGGGACCTCTTTATTGTCGGTCCACAGGGTGCCATTTAAAGTGAAGAGCTTTGTTTTGAAACTGATTGGCCTGGTGACCAGAATCACGTTGATTAACGTTTCTTGTATGTGTGTTCATATCTTCTGCTTTTTTTCAGGGAGACATTGGTCCTGTCGGCCCTACAGGCCCCCAGGGAATAAAGGGTGAACAAGGCACCAAAGGGGATAAGGTTAATAATGAAAAATACTCAGCATCATGCTTTCATTTTTTATTTCTGCATTTTGTAATTTGTCTTATTCACTGATACTATGACAGATTAATAGTTGTTTAGTAAACTACATTCATAGGTATGATTTGTTTTGATGTGTTCAGGGCAGTCCTGGTTTTGGGATTCCAGGACAACGGGGACCCAAGGGAGAAAATGGAGAGAGGGTGAGTCACCTGATAAAGTAAAATGACTTATTCAACATTTACACCTTGTTATCATAATACTGAAACAGAAAGCAGATGTTTATTGCTATTATATTTATGTGTTTATCAATTACAGGGAAATGTTGGTTTGTCTGGAAAACCAGGACAAAAAGTAAGTGAACCCACTTACCTAGAGCTCTTATTCAAATGTGTATATTAACAATGACACAAATGACTATGTGTGAGGTGAAAACGGTCAATGAAATACACAGATAATTATTGCCCTACTTTGCAGGAACCCTAAAGCTTACAAGTTTAAAAGTATTTTAGGTTTTTAAGATTTTGCTGTTTTAGTTCACTTCACTAGTTGCATCAACCTCGTTTACAGTCACAGCAGCTGTTTTCAACCAAAAGATGGTGGTTGGAGGAGACCAAAACATAAATAGGGGTTTATTGGCACAGATGTCAAGGAAGAGTCGATAGACAAAGGCGATAGGAGCTGATTTTTTGACTATTCGACCGCAACCCATGTCTGCTCAAGATGTAAACGCTGTTTTCAACTAAAGGCGCCCCCTAGTGGCTACAAAAATTCCGGTCTTTAATTCGTTTTACACAATGAATGTTGTGTGTTCTGGTAAAAGTCCATTGCAACTATTGAAACCTACTTAATTGTTTACTGAAGTTGTTAATGTGTCTAAAACAGAAGTCATGTGTTTGTCCAGGGGCATGATGGCTTTAAAGGTGACAAAGGGACTATCGGGTTATCCGGCAAACCTGGAGTACCAGGATTAAGAGGTAAAGATGTAAGTAAATCCTGAGTGGCTGCTACAGCATTGATACAGCACAATTCACATTTATTTTACAATCATTTACTTAAAAGGAGACAGCTCAGTATGTTACTTGAAACATAAAACATACAGAATGCGACAAAGTCCAAACGTATTTAAATGTATTGTTTTGCATAGTAATATTGTTGACAATTACTGTTGACTTTGTGTCTAGGGTACACCTGGAAATAAAGGAGACGAAGGCTCTAAGGTACAGTCATGTTTACTTGGTGCTTTGGTTTGTTTTGATGTAGCTGTTTCTCAGGAGTATATATACTAAATATAACAGCTTTAAATAATTACATTGCTTTGACTTCACAGGGTGAACTAGGACCACATGGAGAGCCTGGTGACAGAGGAATTAGGGTATTTGTATTGTGTTTTCTGACATTAAAGGCAGAAATATACTAAAAGATGAAAACGTGTAGATCGGCCAATCAATATACCGACATTGTCACTTAATCAGTACATTTGTTATGTAATATTTTAATAAGATTTGCTGTTTTATATTGCCTTTCTATTTCTCTTAATCTTCAACTCCATTTTCAGAGCTCTTATGCTGAAGTGTCCCTAATATTATTGTATCTAGTTATATATAGTTAAAGTGGGCTCAAAAATATTTAAGCTCTAAATGTCTGCCAGAACTCCTGCTGAGCAAACATCACATTGCAGCAATTTTACACACATTTGCTCACAGTATGTCATTTGACATGTTTATATGCTCTTTTTAACTCCTCTGTTAATGTTGTTCAGGGTCCACTTGGATTACCAGGACGACCAGGTGACCCCGGAGAAAAAGGAAATTCTGGAACTCCTGGCCTGTTTGTAAGTTCATTATTTCCATTCATGCACTCCGACACATTGTATGTAGGCTAAGGGGCGGGACATCTCTAAGCAGTTGACCAATCACAACAGAGCCGGCCAGCTAACCAATCAGAGCAGACTGGGCTCTGGTTTCAGACAGTGGGTGAAAAGAGGTGCTGCAGCACAGGCAGTATGAGAAAAATAAAGAGCTTTTTGAACATTAAAGCATGGAGACATGTCCCAGGGGAGACACTAAATATAAATATGAACCTGAACATGTCATGGGATTAATAGGGCCCCTTAAAATTGTTAAAGTTATGTCTCTTCTGAACAAAACCTTAATGATCAGTTTTTTTTTGTAAAAATAATTTCAACATATATCAATGTAACAATTGAGCGTAAACTGCAATGCCTTATGATAACCATTGATTTCCTTTTTTGTTGAAAGGGTGCTGATGGAAAAAAAGGCGATAAAGGAGATCAGGTCTGTTTGTATTCACCATCTCACTCTCTCTTTCTCTATTGTTTCTCCTTGTTGACGCCTTTTGGTTATTCTTCTGTGTCAGTCACTGTCCCTTTGTGACTTCATGATTTGTATTGTGATATGTTAACTAATTACGTTTAGCTTTTTGTGTGTGCCACCCTTCAGTGCACCTACTATTTCCTCTTTGTGTTGCCAATATGGATTGTGTTTAGCAGTGTGACATGTTAGATTTGTAACTGTGTTTTATTGTGCTCTTCTTTTGATCGTGCTGCCGTTGTCACACAAAGGGAAAACCTGGACCTCCGGGAGCACAAGTAAACAAACCTCTATTATGTTTTTTGACAGCTTCTCATCAGTTCAGTCATGTTTGACAAAGGCATTGGTGGTAACGAAGCTTATAAAGAACAATAAAACGTCACCCCCTCATACTGTAGGACAATAAATGTCTGTGACTTTATCCGCTGAAATTGTCCTTCAATTACCAAGTTAACTTTTGATTTCTGATTTTGTCCAGATTGTTGGAGACAACAACGTAATGACCAGAGTGATTAAGGTAATTTATAGAATAGCATGCCTTATTTTATCCAGTTAACTTGTTTGTTTTTTCATGAGTGAATTGAAGCTTCCCTGCTCTCTTCTTTTCTAATCTTCAGGGTGAACCAGGAAATCCTGGTCAGCCTGGGTTGAGAGGTGAAACAGGTCTGCCTGGACCAAGCGTGAGTATTTTATCACACGTCATATTTCATTTTCAAGTTCAGACGCATGCTGATCAAAATGCCCATCGATTGACAGCGCAATCATTCAAATCAGAGCTGAATCTATCAGTCTATTAACTGATAAGCTAGTTGTCAGAAAGTTAATCTGCAAAAATTGATTTATAATTAAATGTATTTGTTGTATTTGGTAGGAGAAAATAATAATCAAGCTTTCTTGAATGTTTATTTGAATATTTGTTCTCTCTTCTCAGGGGCCAGAGGGGAAACCTGGATTACCAGGATCATCAGTGGTATGTGTGCAGCATTTAAATCACATGTATTTTGTGACTGTTTGTTTCTGTGGGGATGTGTATGTGTTAAAATCATGAACTGTTTGCTTTGCAGGGTGGTTCTGGAAGAGGTGGACTTGATGGTTTTCCAGGAAAACCAGGAGATAAGGTTGTACAAACGTTATTACAGTTCTACTTGTATTATTATACAGTTTCAGCTTACTCATAAGATGTTTCATATTTAACTGCAGGGTGACAAGGGATCAAAAGGGGTGCCTAGTCTGGTGAGTGCTCCAATATTGTTTTTGTAATGTTATACTGTTCATACATGGTAAACTTCCCAAAAGGGAGATGACTTGCTTGAATGTTTTTATGTGTGCATGTGAACAGAAAGGTGAACAGGGACGTATTGGGATTGCTGGAATACCTGGTTTACCGGGAACTCCAGTGAGTATCAGACTGAATCATGGTGCCTGTGGCTAAAACATATATAGGATGTCCATCCTTAACATGCCTCTAATGGTTATATGAAAGCCAAGATTTCATATTACATTGATGTTTCAGGTTCTAAATTAAATTAGTATGATTATGATAATCAACCTGAAAGATATCTCCAGATATTGTAATTTTCTTAATGTCCTCTTCTCTACAGGGCAGACCTGGCAATGATGGGAAGAGGGGCCTGCCAGGAAAAGATGTAAGGACCATAATTGTCCAACAATTACTATGCTATGCATTGTGATACCCACCGTTTTACTTTTATGCTTAACCACTGAGCTATCAGGCCTATTTTCTGATATTTTAAATGTGTACCTATTTATATTTGAATTATTAAAACTGAAAATGTATTTTAATTTCACAGGGAGAAAGAGCAGAAAAGGGAGATGATGGCGAAAAGGTCCTTTAATTTTACTGCAACCAATTGAAACAATTATGAAGCTATTTTTTTGAAAACGTGTGTTAACTGTCCTCTCATTCCAGGGGGACAAGGGAGACGGCGGGGGCAATGTAAGTGGTTTTGAGATAAACAAATATACATTTTGTGAGAAAACTGAGTAACTTCAAGGCGTTTTTCTTCTTTCACAGGGTAAAGATGGCAGTAAGGGGGAACCAGGGCCTCCAGGTTTGCCGGGTAGGCAGGTGCTTGTCACATCGGAGGTAAAAATTACTACTTGCAATTTAAATAATTAATAAGTAGGGAAGCTAAAAACCCTGGCAACCTAAACTTTACTGATTGTAACATGGATCCGTTCCCAGGGTGCCACCAATGATGAAATCCGAGAAGCATTTCCGATCCCAATGGGTCCTCCAGGAGCTACTGTGAGTATGATGCCAACACTGAACACACTTCAGGATATGTATAGCTTATGAATAATGGCAGATTAATTTAGCTATTGCATGGCATGCTTTATCTCTGGCCTCCACGGCATCTGAGTCATCATTTAGCGATGCCTGTAGTGCTTTTATTGTGGGTTGCAATGAGTCGTGCCCCTATCTGCGAGCAGATATGGCAAGCTTGATGTCATGCATTAGTAGATGCATGTTCCAATGTGTTGCTCCTCTGTGTCTGTGTGTTTAGGGTTCACCGGGAATTAAGGTAAGATGGTCATGCGCTTCGTACTGAAACAAAAAAAAAGGAATGTTGGTTGTGTAGCTTATTGGTGTCTTTTGCAGGGTGGTAAAGGAGAAACAGGGCTGAAAGGAGAGAAGGTAGTATTTGATTGTTATCCCTCAAAAACATATACAATTGGAAATAAACTACAAATAATATATTCTTTACTGTCTTTCACACTAAAATGTAGGGCGTTGCTGGAGCTCCTGGAAAATCAATAGAGATGAAGGTGAATACAGGCAGTAGTGATTCCTCCTCTTGGATAAATGTTTTTTGCACTTTGAATAATATGTTTGTTCTCTTCTTTAGGAAATTGAAGTGATGTTTGGAGACTATGGCATAAGGGTGAGCTCTGAGCAGGACAACGTCCACATTTTAAGGTTGAGAGAATTTGTAACAGAACACCAGTTTGACCTTCTCAACTATGTTTCTATTTCCTCAGCTGCCTTTGTTGAAGGCTTTAATTGACAGGCTGTTGCAGGATGGAATAGAGGAGCTGCTTCGTGTGCTTGGCACCTCCCAGAAAACAAATGAAAACACAAAAACTCACACCTCCAACATCATCACTGAATACACAGTACGTATACTCTGGGGAAAAAGTGTGTGAGGGGTCTTTAAAAAGTTGAATTCCATGTTGCGCCTTTGGTCAAACATTAATGTTTGCAGAACAGCAGTTAACAGATGCTTGCTGTTGGAATATTGATTATTTCCCCCTCAACTCCCATGCATTATTTAAACCAATTCATGGTATATTTTTCAAACAACTGTCACAATCACGTGTGAATCTTATCAGCTCTCTCCTGTCCTAAATGTGTTGTCTGGACAGAGTTCAGTGAAGTTCGACCTCACCAGTCAGGCACTGAAAGAGGACACCATCGTAGACCCCAAGTTAGACGGACATCTTGCAGAATCTTTGATAGTTGTAAGTTACCTCAACATTTCCACTTTGACTCTCAATATTTCGTATTTCTGTGAGACCATCAAGCTTCAACCAGGTCACGATACAACACATACAAAATGGTTCACACTCAGCATTTGACCCACTGTGAAGTGTATATTGTCCCTGAAATGATTTGACCTCAGGTTAAAGGTACCAGTTAAAACATGGATAGAAATACTTAATTTTGAATTATTTAGACACAATTAACACTTATAGTTTCATGTCTTGTTACATAAGAATAGCTCATATGTGTTAAGTGTTATTATGGGAGAATTACTATTCTTGTGGTACTACAGCCTTATTAGGCCCGTATTGAGCAGAGCATATTAAGACCAAAACTCATTTACAACAACTTCCTTACTTGCAATAAATAAGCACTAATTAGAGGGTTATTGAGGAAAAACTCTCAACTATTACTTGTAGAATACGGTCATGTAGAATAAGGCATTAATAAGTGTTTTATAATGACTAATAAAGCGCTAATACTGCTAATATGCATGATAATTAACAACTAGTTGATGGTGAATTTGTGTACCTTAATATAAAGTGTTACCTAACATTTGATATACTTTCACTTACACTTATTTTGTCTTTTGCCATGAAGAACCCTTTAATAGAAGCCGCAGAGGGTCCGACTTTATGGAGCGCCACCACACTGAACGGAGATAAGGATATGGACAGGACTGAGTCCATATTAAAGGGAAGATGGAATAAGATAGTAGATGGGGATAGTGAGAACCCATCTCCACACAAAATGAATCTGACTGTTAACAACTCAACTTTCAATTATACCACGACCCAGGAGGTAAGGACATTTTACAATGAAGAACGCCAACTTAAAAGCAAGCTTTTACTAAGTGCTTAACACATGCTGAGTACATTAAAAAAGGAAATTAGTTTTATTTTTGGAAGAAATTAATTAGGATAATTTTACATCAACTTGAATTAAGTTGTAAAAGTTTTAAATGTACATAACTGGCCATTTCTAAACATTTTTTAACATTAAAAATATATTATCATAAACCAAAAATGAGACTGACCAAGGCACAC